CTCTTAGAAAGCCCGGACCCTATTGGATTAGCATCTCATGACCTCGTGTAACCTTCCTTACCTCCTAAGAGACCCATCTCTAAATATAGTCACCCTGGGGCTAGGGCTTCACAGTACGAATTTGGGGAGATGCAGTTCAGTCCACAGCAGAAAGGGACGCAGCCTCAGGCACTGTGGGCCATCCTACTTGGAAACCCATCTCCTCCTCCTCTCCCTGCACACAGGAGGTCCACACCCCCCTGGGGCTCCCTGCACCTCCCCTCACATCACCTGCTCTTGGACTCTGCACAAGTCCTGCTGCTTTTATGCAGCGCCCCACCTTTAAGTCGAATTCCGCCGTGGATGTGTTTGTTTTGGGAGGGAGTCTGTGGTATGTGTTTTGAATTAGTAGCCACCATATCCAAACAGGGATGTTTTGGATGGAAACCCAGCGTCCCAGCTCCTAAAGACAGACAGCTGTCAGGGCCGGTTCCCGTCCCCACGTGGCACCCGCCGGAGGGACAGGGTTGCAGCCGCCCTCTAAGAGTGGGGCCTGGGCCAGCCGGTTGCGGCGACCTCTAGAACGCCTGGCCCTGTCCTGGCGTGTGTGTTACACGCCTCTCCCTGTGGGCAGTGGTGTTTGAAAGACTTGCCTTGGCCCTTTTCCCTCCTGCCTCATCCTTATTAGAATTCACTTTTTGCCCATGATTTTGCAACACAGCAGCTAGAAAATCAAATAAGGCCGTTCCTATTTAATGTGTTGGTGGATATTAATGGATTAAAAGATCTCCTTAACTGCCAGTTGTGTAGCTGCCCTGGGAGGGGCATTTCAGGGACACGTGGACCTAGGAGTCCTCAAATCCAACCCCAGAATGCTCTGGTGGGTGTGTAAGTGGAAGTAAGGAAGAACCCCTCCTGTCTGTGGCTGCAGACAATTAACTTCCACAAACTGTATGTTTTGATTCTTGCAGGGTAGGCCCTGTCTCATGAGGGCATCCACTGGCTGGGAAACCCTCTTTTGTGTGGCTTTAACCTCAAAGGATTGGAGACTGAAATGAATCCCGTTGCAATGCTTACGTGTCCTTCCCCGGAAAACAAAGCCAATGCATTTCTGAAGAAGCAAAAAGATATCTGGAAGCTGGGTTTTCTCTTTTCACGATTGTTATTTCAGGTCACGAAGCTGAGACGGGGGTGGTTCCTACAGCTGGAGCTCAGAATGTTCCCCCCGTCAGGGTCCCAGCAGCGTGGGAGTCATGGGCTTCCTGTCACTAGGCGGGGGGCGTAAGTCATCACACTCAACCACTGGCACTCAGAGGTGGTCAGAACTCAACAGCGTCAAAGCCCCACGATGGCAGACCCAGCGAGGGTGTCAGTTACACTGTAGCGTGGGACCGCGCGTGCATTGGTGTGATCTGAGGCACTGAGGTGCTGGTGCCTCCCTCTAGGCTGTAGAAAACCCTGTTACTCAGACAGAGTGTCAGATTATATTATCCCCCCCACCCCACCCCACAGTCCTCCTCTTCCTCCACCTGGGGACTCTCACGGCTGGTGCCACCGGTGCTGGCTGCTGGTGGACTCTCGTTTTCTCGTGTTGCAGTTCCAGGCCCACATCTTGGAGGCCTGATCTCAAGCGTGCAGCCAGCACGTAGGTGATCTGCATTTTGCTTGGTATTCCTGCAGAATTGCTTCAGTGGTGCTGATTAATTCAGAAAGGCTTGATTAGATTGGGGTAGTGTCCGCCTCCCGGGTAGCACACAGGGTCAGTTACGAGGCCTTCCAGGTTAAGCCATCTTGCCTTTCAGCGTCTTCACAGGATCAGAAGGGTGAGCAGTAGGCGTGTTCTGAATTCCCCCCCAAGGCCTGCAAAAACATGCGTGTCAGGGTGGTATCTGTGCCTGCCACTGCAGGGGACAGTGGGGACCAACGCCGGCTTCCCTGTGGAGCTGCTCGTGGAACCACACGTCCCCATGCCCACCTCTGGGCTTCTTCAGGGTAAACATGGACAACATGGGATGCTCATAATCTGGCAAATAAAGTCCCATAGTTCGAGGAGGCTCAAGCTGGTACCTTTGCTGTTTTCTTTGTGCCTTTACCTGGCTGTCTTTGTCACTGAATGGGTTTCCTTTACTATCATGGTAGGAAGGGCTTTGGCACTTGGCTAAGTATTTTGTGATTCTTGAAGTGTGAGGTAGGGGGTCCTTAGTTTCAAGACAATGTTGCTTTTCCGTAGCTCTCCCTGTTACTGGCTTTTGTTTTTTTGAGACAGAGTTTCACTCTTGTTGCCCAAGCTGGAGTACAATGGTGCGATCTCCGATCACTGAACCTGCCTCCCGAGTTCAAGTGATTCTCCTGCCTCAGCCTCCTGAGTAGCTGGGATTACACGCGTGCACCACCATGCCCAGCTAATTTTTTTTTTTTTTTGTATTTTTAGTAGAGGCGGGGTTTCACCATGGCCAGGCTGGTCTTGAACTCCTGACCACAGGTGATCCGCCCGCCTCAGCCTTCCAGAGTGCTGGACTGGCTTCTTTTAGGGTAGGGTGCTTCCAGTATAGTAAGTGGTATCTGAAGTGCCTATTCACGCTTGGACCAATTTGGGAAGCTACATTGGAAAAAGATGGAGATGTTTCTCTCCCTTTGCATGGGTTGGTGTTTCGTGGACAAGATTTAGATCCTGAGCTTTTTTCCTGAAAAGATTGATCTCATTTCATCAGGTTAAGCAGCTGACCTTGAATCACTAAGATGGAATATAAATAAAATAAATAGATGTAAGCATTTCTATAACCACCAGAAAATGGGGTGAAAGACCAGCCTTGCTTATCCTCCCTGTGCTCCTTTCCTGCAATTCACTCTTCCTAAATGCAATGCAGAGAGAGGCGGATGGCGTGAACCAGGTGGCTGTTTGGTGGCAGAACGTGCAAGAGGCAGGCAGTCATTGCAATGCCTTCAGGAGGGAAGGGGCCACTTGTTTGAGCCTTGACCCTGTGCAGTAAGATGTACTTAGTGTCCCGTGAGATTGATGTCCACAAATCCTCCCAACATCTGCTAGGGCTGTAGCTTTTACATCCTTAAGTCACAGAGAGTGCAGGGACGCCAGGCAGCTTGTCCAAGGTCACGTTTAAGAAGAGCTCCAATTTGTATTTAGGCAATTTGACCTCAGAACCCATCATCTAACCCCTATTTCAAATGTCTCCTGTTCTCAAATTCTCTGAGCTATGGCTGCCTTAGTTTACCTTGGGGCATGTCGGCCTCTGAGGTCAGCAGCCAGGTGTTTTGATTAGCACACCCATCCCATTCCCTTAAGACCTCCAGGGATTCCTCCATGTGAGACATGCTGAAGCGTCTGCAGTTCTCTCAAGCAACAAGTGTGGGACTAAATTATGATCTGCTTTACTTGAGAAAGGCAACAGTAAGTGTTATGCCATCCAGACCGTCTCAGAAGACAGAAGAGAATTGCTCCATTATCAATCACTTTCCCTAAGGTGGGGGGATCATTGATTCCCAGAACAAAAGCACCACTCTTTTACATTGGGGTTCCATTGCTATGTTTTATTGCTGTGAAAATGTAGGTGCCATAGAGTAGCGGAGCTCATTATGACTGTGACTAAGAGAAAAGGAAGGTTGACTGAAAAACGGAAGCTGAAAGTAGCCAGGAGGAGCCTCTCTTCTCCTGGGAAATGTTGAAACCACGTGATTTCTTGCTGCTTTCTATTGTGTGAATGGAGCCTAGACTCGTAGCACTTGAAATATTGTAACAGAGATGAACAAGATCAGTTCAAGATGTGAGTGTCCCACCAGTATTAATTCATTTAGGGTGTGAACAGAGAGCAAACTCGAACAACTGGGAAAAAGAGAAGTTCTGGGAAAAAGACAAGTTCTCAACCTGACAGCTGGTAGCTGGTGTAGTTCCAGCCGTCTTCCACTGTGAATTATTGATTATCCTTTCTGCTTCTCTTTCGACCTTTTGGAATGGATGTCATTCCCTCTTTTAGGATTCTCAACTTACTTATTGAAGTCCTTTTCAGGTTGCTTTATTAGTTTTATTTCTTCTGGAGTAAATTCATCCTGATTATTAATTTTGTGGGATCTCTTTAGTAGGGTTAGTTTTCTTTATGGGTTCTGGAATTTCTTTTTCAGATTCATCTTGAATGGGAGATTCTTAATCCCATCTCGGTGCTCACTCTCCCTGTCTTACCTATTTGTAGTTACTGTACCGCACCCTAGGTGCTCCCAGTCTTGAATTAGATTTTATTATTGGCAGCTCTGAGTCCCTGTGCCATGGTGATATTAGAGAGTAAGACAAGTCCTAAAAATGAGCCTAAAAATGGGTCATCTCCCTCTTGCCTCTCTAGGTGCATCACCTCATAAAAGCTCTGGCTCTGAGCAGAGGTGATGGATCATTTTCAGCTTTCTTTGGGGGCTTAACTGTTGCCTCGGGTCATGTGATGACCTTAGTTCATGTCTCTTGTCTTATGTGGAATACACTGAATCTTGGATATCCTGAAAAAGGTGGACTCTTAATTCTCCCTGCCTATTTTTGGACTCTGAATCTAGAAGGTTCCAGGAGTTCCACTCACCACATTGTGTTCTAGCCATTTAGTCCTTAGAAAGCTTTATCTTATCTTTGAGTGGCTAAATATTTCTAACCTTTCTCTATCTATTGTTTATTGTGGCTGTATGTTTGGAGCAGTGTTCATGGGGAAAGGGATGGGTCAAAGCTTATTAACAACTCCAATTGGTGAGAAGTTCTGTTGCTTTTTTAGGACACAGACACTAAGTGATTACTATATATTATTGTATTGTATTCTAATCATCATAAAGTATAACCTGATTGCATTTTGTAGAGTTGGAAACTTATGGTTTGGAAAAAGAGAGATGAGTCCCGACTCATACACAGCTTCTGGACCGCAGAATCAGTGCCCAACCTTGGGTCCCATTTCCAAATCAGAGCTCCTAACCACTGCACTCGACCAAGTCTCGAAACACTGGGGCACCACCTCACATGTCCTTTCCTTTTGTCCTAGGAAAATGAACTGAAGGATGCCACCCAGGGAGAGCATCGCCTGAGATCCCATCATGCAGGCCTTCCCACAAGGGCCCAGCAGCATGACAAGGTAGCTGATACCACCATCCACAGACCATCTGGGGGCCTGGAGGGAGGGGGCTGGGCCAGGGAGGAAAGACCGGGAAAGGGCAGGGAGGAATCACTGAACACCAATGTGAGGGTGGCCTGAGAGGCTGAGCCAGGTCTCTCTCACTTCTTCACGTGACCAGCACGTGAGGCACCCAATGATGTCTTATCCACTGTCTTCTGGTTATCTCTGCTTGGAAGTCTATTAGGCACCTGTATCTTTAACAACAAGGCAGAACAAAGCCATTGGTGTCCACTCTCCCAAACCACTTTCTCCCCAGTGAATGGTATGGCCACTCCTGATTGCCTGAGCCTCCATGCTGGGGCCTCCTGGGCGCTGGTCTTACTTCATCCGAATCTAACTCCCTGCTTGAGTCTGTTTTCTGTTGCTCATAACAGAATACCTGAAACTTGGTACTTTATAAAGAAAAGGAATCTATTTCTTAAGCTATGGAGGCTGAGAACCTAAGGTTGAGAGGCTGCATCTGGTGAGGCCCTTCTTGCTGATGGGGACTCTACAGGGTCCCAAGGTGGTGCAGGGCATCCTGTGGCAAGGGGGCTGAGTGTGCTCACATACCAACTCAGGGCTCCCTTCCTCTTCTTATTAAGCCGGCAGTTCCACTCCCCTGATAACCCATTGGTCAATTAACACATTAATCCATTAATCCATGAATGGACCCATCCATTCATGAGGGCAGAGTCCTCGTGATCCAGTCACCTCTTAAAGGCCCCACCTCTCAGTACTGCTCTGTTGAGGATTAAGTTTCCCACACATGAAATCTGGGGGATGCATTCAAACCATGGAGCTCACCAACCAGCCCCCTCACCGCCAGACGGTGCCCCAGCTCTCCTCCCTTCCTCTCCACTGTGGTCATCTTCTCTTTCCCAGATGCCAAAGCCATTTCCTAACTGGCCTGTCCAGCTCCCTTGTCATCCTATGGTCTTTTCCCTATGGCAACTGGAATAATCTTGTGATGCCCTCTGGATCACGCAATCCTCTGACCCTTCCAATGCCTTCCATAAATAAAACTGAGGCTTCTCCCTGTGGCCACCATCCTGTCCGTCTTGCTACCTCCCGTCCACCTCTGACTTACTTTCGTTCCTTGGATCCCTAAGCTTGTCTCAGTATTTGATGGTTGTCTCTGCTTAGAACACTCTACTCCCTCATCTTCAACAGCTGGGAGCTTCTTGCCTCTCAAGCCTCAGGTTACGTGTCCCTCCTGGTGAGCATTTGTGGCTCTAACATCTACTCTGATGGCCCTCCCTCCATCCCTTTTTTCTCTATGTGACCACACCTGTTTTCATGTTCTTTGTATCTTTTCTTGCTATCTTAGTCTATCACGGGTCTTCACTTATGTGTTTCTCCGTCTCCTATGAGAATGTGGGCTGGTCATTGCAGGGGACTTTCTGTCACATCCATGACTGTCTCTCCTGCACCTTCACAGGATGTCCAGTAGGTGCTCAGCCAACATCTATTGAATGATGGGTGGTTTTAAGCTGTTAATTTTGCAGCTTTGACAATGCATATTTCAAGGAATAACTGAGTTCTAGTGATTAAATATAAAAATTAGAGGTGTCTTGATTTGACACTTGTTTTCTTGCCTTCTCGTTTGGCCATTTTTTTAAAGATGCGCTTTTCAGGAAATTACAAGTGTTGATGAGGATGTGGAGAAACTGGAATCCTGCACATTGTTGCTGGGAACGTAAAATGATGCAACCACTATAGAAAACAGTATGGAAGTCCCTCAAAAAATTAAAAATAAAATTGCATATGATCCACCAATCCCAATCCTGGGGATAAGAATTGAAAAGGGGGCTGGGCGTAGTGGCTCACACCTGTAATCCCAGCACTTTGAGAGGCCGAGGCGGGTGGATCACCTGAGGTCAGAAGTTGGAGACCAGCCTGGCTAACATGGTGAATACCCCATCTCTACTAAAAATACAAAAATTAGCCAGGCGTGGTGGTGCATGCCTGTAATCCCAGCTACTTGGGAGGCTGAGGCAGGAGAATCACTTGAACCTGGGAGGTGGAGCTTGCAGTGAGCCGAGATCGTGCCACTGCACTCCAGCCTCGGCGACAGAGCAAGACTCCATCTCAAAAAAAAAAAAAAAAAAAAAGGTGTGTTTTAATATATCCTGACCCTCCAATTAGTATGCTTTCCCCATTTTTCCACCAGCCCCCACTTTCCAAACCTACACTTTCAGGAAAGGCTCTGATACACTCACTCACACTGAGGTCTGAATGCATCATTAGGCTTAGTGACTTTCTTAGGCCAGGAGTATTTTTCTTCAAATAGGAGGAAAAATAAAAAAAGATGGGGGCGTTTCAGGCCTCCAGTGCAGGCTGACGGCAGGGCTGGTGGGGAGCTGGGCACAGGGAGGTTGGATCCTGGGATGACTTTCTTCCTACGACTAGAATAGCTGCATGTGTCCACACTCTGCTCCCGAGCTGGGCTCCTGCACCTGGAGAGGCAACGCCAGCTGTGGGGGCACGGGGGTGCTGGAGCTGACCCTGCAGGCATTGACCAGGCCAGCAAAGGCCGGCAGAGGTGGGGGTCCCAGGGCTCAGCCCTCACAACGGCGGCAGCCTCCTTTCCTGGACGGCTGGTGGTGCAGCCTGACATCCCTGCTCCCGTGGGATTCAAACCGCTTTGTTTGTTCGCTTGAGGTTTGAATTTCTCCCTCTGCTGTCTTCTCAGCTTGGCCTTTTAAACGAGGCTGCAAAGCACAGGAAATGAGCTCGCCTTGGCTTCTGCTTTGCAGGGGTGTCTGAGGGAGCCCAGCAGCTCCCCCGGGTGGACAGGAATGGCAGTGCTTTGGGAGAGGCAGCAGGGGCACCGGGTCTGTCCTGCAGCCTGCTTTGCGGAGCTTGGATTTCCTTCCAAGTGCCTGGGCTGGCTTCCTGCATGGGAGGCAGTGAGGGAGTGGCAGTCGCCAGAGACTGTCTCTTGGGCCAAGCATCTTTGTGGTCCAGGGTAGCTGGGGAGACTGAAGGGGTGGGGGTGAGTTTGTGCTAATAGAAGCATTCAACCGTCCCTCCAGACTCATGGGGAAGCTCGTCAACGCAAACCCGCAGAAACACCAGCGCTCTTCTGAGTCCCTGCAGACACGGGGGGATCAGCAATTCCTCTATCTGATTTTTGCTTAGAATTGCAAACTGCTTTTCGGTAGCACTGATTAAGAGACAGAAATTAATTCTCAGAGCTCTTAATTATGAATGCAAAGAGACTACATTGTCAGCCTTTTTCCCTGTGCAGAAAGGATTGGTTCTTAGGCGCAAACGGTGGTATTGGGCTGTCTGGGGTGTTGAATTCTCTCAGGCAGGCGGCCTTGTGGGAGGAACCAATGAGCTGGGATCCAAGACATAGTGCAAAGAATATGCTTGATGCCTTTGAAGCTGCAAAGCCAACCTTTTGTTGATTTCAGAAAAAATGATTCAAATTTCTTCTCTGTTTGGGTTAGGAGGGGCCTGTTGAGCTCCCTCCTCCCCACACTGGGCCCCTGTCCCTGTAGCAGGTCTGAGGTTCAAGGTTTTCATCACATTGATTATCTGAGGCCAAAATTTCAAGCTTCTCTTCCACCTGGTGCCACTGTTGCTGCCACGAGAATGTATTTTGAAATAGAAACGAATCCAGTGTCTGGATCAAAGTGAACAGTTCACTCTTATGAGATTTTTTTTAGAGAATAAAATCCAATCCGGTGTCTGGATCGGATGCCCGGGGTGGTTAGTGTGCTGTTGTGTTTGTGTGTGGTGAGCAGGTCTTGGGGAATCATTCAAACCCTGTTAGTACCTGACATTCTGGAGCCGGCACTAGTAGGTCATTACGTTCATGACCTTTGACCTTGCTGTAGCATGGGTCAGAATTTCCTACAACCTAGGGAATCCTCTTACCTGCTGGCCAGAAACCCAAGGTTGTAGAAGACAGGCACAGCTAGGAAACACTGGTATGAAATGTCAGCCATGTGACTTACTAGCAATTTCCCTCGTTAAGCATTGTTTTCTAGTAAGAAAATTAGGAAAGTTTAAAAGGATGACACACATAGATATTTGGGATTCATGAGGCTTAGTTTTTGACTGAAAGGGGAGTGTCCAGCCCAGGGTTGCAGCTGATTATTATTCTCTAAAAAAAAATCTTATAAGAGGGAATTGTTCCTCACCTTGCATTTAATCAGGACAAAGGAAGAATCGTCTGGGCTCCTACCCGTGAACGTCTGGGACATTTTTTCTTTGATTGTGTGTCTTAGTGAAGATCTCTGAGTCGTCTTTGTCACTCTGAGTTCACTTTCTCCTTTAGTAGGAGACTTATTTGGCTCTTGAGAACATCCAGGAGACTGTTCTAGACCAAGACCAAGGGCAACGGGACAGGGACCCAGGTTGGGTGCGGTGGCTCACGCCAGCAATGGGACAGGGACCCAGGCCAGACTCAGTGGCTCACGCCTGTAATCCCAACACTTTGGGAGGCCAAGGCACATGGATCACCTGAGGTCAGGAGTTTGAGACCAGCCTGGCCAACATGGAGAAACCCCGTCTCTACTAAAAATACAAAAATTGGCTGGGCATGGTGGAGTGCGCCTGTGATCCCAGCTACTCGACAGGCTGAGGCATGAGAATCTCTTGAACCCAGGAGGTAGAGGTTGCAGTGAGCCGAGATCACGCCACCGCACTCCAGCCTGGGTAACAGAGTCAGGCTCCCTCAAGAAAAAAAAAAAAAAGTGATGGACTTTGAGGCAGAGACCTCAATGCAGTGGGGATCCCTGCACCCCGTGTTCTTCGGAGCCAGAGGCCAGGGCGTCTGTCAGCTAAGGGCCCGTCTGCCAAGACTCCGGGCATGAGCTGGGCTGCAAAACCCAACCCAGCAGAGAGGAAACTGCCAGGCTCTCTTCTGGGCCACCGGCCCCAGGTGCCAGCATTTGAGTGGCCCATTGGAGCCGATATTTATCGTGTTTTAATTTAGTGGCATCAGTCCTCTATCCAGGTGGGAT